CTGAACCACAAAAGCTAACACAGACCTCAGTGTGCACAGATGCAGGAAAAAGAGGAAAAAGGACAGGAAGTTTGTGAGAAGGGAGGGCATGGAGATAATTTGGGAAGAAGGCTTGTGAGCATTTSAGAGGCCAATTAGAGAACCTTGAAAGGTTGACTATGTCCTTTTAAGTTTTATAACAGTGTAAATGATTCATTCATCATTCTTCACTGGTCACAAAATGAACAGTTAGACTGTTAAATGACCTCAGCTTTGCCTTGGGTTCTTAACTCCAAGCTAGGCACTGCCAAAGCCCGAACCATAAAATGAGTCATTAATGCTTAAAGAGGAGAAACATTCCCTGACCAMCTTCCCCTGGGGTACAGCTCCCAAATGCTTCATTATTCCCTCAAAATATAGCCAGGAGAAGGAGGAGACCAGCCCAAGCACAAAGGGTGCAGAGATAAGGGAAAAGAGAAACATCTGAATGCTCTGGACATCCAGCACTTCTATCATTCATGGACATCTCCTGGAGAATTTAACCCAGCAGGCATTTCCCTCAAAGGCACTGTAACAGGGAATTSAGTCCCTTCTATTCTGACAGCAAAAATGAGCATCAATTCCAGCTTCTGTCTGGGGCAAGTCTTCTGATGACTGTCCCCACACTGTGTAGTTTGCCAGTTCCTTCTGAGCCTTGAAATAATAGCCAAAAATCAATCATTCAATTATGTATGAATAATACTACATTTTTGAGAGCATTGTTGTCTTGTTACTGACTAACAAAAAGGCTAAACACAACCAGGTACAACTGTGAGCAGGGACACTGCAGCCAAAGCTGGACAGTCCCAAATTTGTGCCAAGCCACGACCCTTTCCCACAGACCAACTGCCCTTGTTGGGTTTTCTCCACTCCCTGAGATCCTCTCCCAGTTTTCTGTCAGGTTTCCTTGACTGCCATCATGCAAGGGTGATACTTTTTACTCACCAGAAAATACCAACTCTGTCCATTTAGCTTCATAAATGCACACGCAGATGCTCGAAGGGATTAGGCTGCCAGCCTGGCTATGGGACTGGAGGTGATTTTCAAGCCCAAACACATCTCAGTGCAAAAAAACCCCATCTTTTTGTCTTTTATCCATACAGACCCACTTATCTGAACTCTAACTGGAGTTTCATTTCTCTCACCAACCAGCTGTGAACTAATTACGAGGACTTTAACTAGTCCTGCTCCCTCTCCAAGCATATGGATCCAATTAAGTCAAACTGCAGCTGATTTTAATCAATCTTCCTTGAAGCAGCCAACCTTGAAGAATCTCTTCTTCAGCTGGAAGAGTAGAGGAGAGCAGGAAAAGCAGGAGAGTAGGATTTGCATAAGGAACACTTCACATCCGCTGGGTTGCCTGTAAACACAGGGCTCCTAGCAGCAAGAAATGCTAATTGAACACTCCTCACAACTCTTTCCTCCCACTTTATCCCAAAAGCACTGATTTGATCAGTCTCTTTTGTTCCTGGCATCGAGCTGCACTTTTCCACCAGCACCTCTGGAAGACTGTCCAGATCATTTCAGATAACTTAAACAAACCAAACCTTTCTCTGAAATCTCAGCCTGCCCACCATGGGCCAAGCAGTGGCAGCCCAGGTTTCCTGGAAATGGTTTTTTTTTTGCTTCATCGAAAGAAAGAAGGGTAGGAGAGATGAGATACAATTGTCTGTTCAAACCCACTCTTTTCATATGATTTGAATCCCTCTCCTGAGCCAGAGTTTCAAATGTTTTCCTTAAGATAACGTCCTGGGCACAGGGGAGGCAGTCTCAACYGGGTGTCATTTCTCTACAGCTCTACATCTCTTGTGTTTTTGTAATCTGAGGTTTTCATTAGCAGTAAAGACCTGGCCAGTGAGTGATATCCATGCTAAAGTCTTTATAGCAGTGAAGGAAAATCAATGCAGCCTGCAGCGAGGTGTCAGGAGGCAAGGGGTTTTGGAAGATGGGGTGTGTGGAGGTGGAAAGCGCCTTCAGGCATAATTCAAGCTGTCCCCACACAAGCACGGAATACAAAAGATGTCAGATTTTGTATCCACTGCTGGGGAGAGCTATCAGCACCTCAGTTCATTTGCTAATAGGGAGCCCAAGGAGTGTGAGTCTCACACCAAAAGCATCTTTCCAGGTGCTCCTTTGCCCTCTGCCCATCCATCGGGGTCCCCTCCATAACAGAGTGGGTTTTTCTGCAGAAATCAGCCAAATTCATGTGCCAGCACCCAGACACAAAAGGATGTGAGAGGAGGAATTTCTTCACAGAAATGGAGATTGACCATTGGAATGGGCTGCCCAGGGAAAGGGTAGATTTGCCCTCCCTGGAGGTGTTGAAGGAAAAWCTGGATGTGGCACTCAGTGCCRTGGGCTGGCTGRCAATGTGGTGYTGGGTCATGGGTTGGATTYAAAGATCTGAGGTCTTTTCCAGCCTAATTGATCCTGTGATTTGGAGACAAACAGTTTTGAGACTTTACTCCTTTCCACACGTCAAACCAATGTTTTTAATTACGATTTATTAGTATCTCCCCAGATCTCATGCATCACACAGAGCTTTGTGAACTGAACAGATTCAGTTCAGTGCAAAGCAGTGAGAGCCTTAATTCCACAGCCTGTCTCTTCCAAATTCACAACTTTAGTACATCCYTTCTATGTATCTTTTAATTCCAGAGAGTCAGAGGTTTTATTTTTAGAGAAGGAACTGCAGATAAAGATTTGTCAGAAATCACCCTCATTCGACCTTGTTAAAGTCATCCCCTCCTCTTACACTTTTGTTTTTTTGCAAGCCATGCTTCTCCCATGTGTGTAATTTCAGTCATCTTCCTGTTCAGTAAAACTTCCTTGTGACTTCTGTATGTAGTTTGTCTATTTTTTTTCCCCTTCAAGGTACAGACTTCATTTTAACCCATCATTTCCCAACTATTTCTTTCAGAGGTGGGAATAAATTACATGTCAAACCAGCACCACTTCAGTGACCTTATCTGAGTGCATAATGACATTTTCAGCATATTTGCTCAGCACTGATAGAAGAGGTGAATTTCTAAGCTTATCCTTAACTTTGTGGGTTCTCACTGTAACAAACCTTCTTTCAATGTGTTTATAAAAAGAGTCATTTTAAGCCTGGCCTGTCAAGATATTTGATTCASAAGGTGAATAAAAATTGGGAAGGCTGATGTTTTCCCCTCAGAGGAGTTCTTGGCTGTTCAGGTGGGCACACACTGATCAATACTGACACTTTTGCATTCAGCTGACATATTCCTCTACTTGTGCTCTCCTCTCCACTCATTCTCTTTTGAAAAAAAAAAACAAAAAACCCAAAAAAACCTGCTTTAGGCATCAAGTCCTCTAAGACACAAGTAAAGTGAGACTTCAGGGACTGGGGGCACTACCTCCTGTTAAAAAATGAGTTCAAGCCATGTCCTCAGCCTTGGCAAGGGAGATGGAAGAGCATCATTACCTGAATTCAGCTCACTGACTCAAAGATTTCTCTTTCCTAGACTTGCTGCTCAAGACTTGGCACCTCAAGAGCAATGTGAACAAACAAAGCAGATCTYTGTGATGTCTCAAGACATCACAATGAAAATAGAAATTTTCCTCTGGTCAGGCTTTCCTGGAAGGCCAGCAGCCACTGTAAGACAATGTAGGCAAATTAAGCATGACCTGAGCTGTAACCTGCTCTGAAACCAAAGCTGCTCCTGTGTTTGTTGGAGGTCTCAGCATCCAAACAGCAGCCCARAGCTTTCATCTCCTTCTGATGACTGAAACCCAATTAAAGGAGAGCRGGGTGACAGGTTTCATACTAAACATGGCTCAGCAGAGATGCTCAGCAGCTCTTAGCTCCCTGCTTTATCAAAGCTGTCACTTCCCCTGTCTCCAGGAATGGGTTATAAAAAWWAAAAAAAAAARKTTKAWT